GTATCACCTGAGCAAATGACCAGCACTTAGAGATGAAAGAGTTAACACAGCTAAAATCATACACATCTTGAGAAATAAAAGAATTCTGGTCATTTCAACATGGCCATGAAAATAGTGTGCCATTTTAAGATAACTGAGAGAACAGAAAACCGGGTGAGGAAAAAAAAAAAACCAACACGTCCAGTTACAGCTGTTGGGGGGAAGTGGAGGGAATGGTGATCTTCGTGTGCCTGTAAATTTGCCAGGTGGTCCCTATAACTGCAAGTATGCCTTTTGTTAAACTCCTGGTTCCTTCCCTTGATGGATGACCAGCAGGTTCTTAATGTTTCTGGGGACTATTGCATAACGTATATGGATAATGACACTGCATGCACTCTACAGTCTGGAGAAACACAGTTTGTTGCAACGATCGTAGAAAGCAAGGGGTACAGCTGAGCAGAAATGTTGTTCGTGAATCATCATCAGCAGCTTGAGTTAGGTTTTGGTGACTGGTGTACTGTATCTGTGTCGCTTCAGCAGGATGCTGCTGAAGTGCAGATTCTTGTATAAACTTGAAACTTATGCAAGGCTTTCTAGTGGGCACGAGATCTTTCTACGTGTGCCACACTGTATGAAGTGGACTCTGCTGTGTCATTCTACGTTCTCTCACCTTTCTTTTGCGTGTGGTCCTCCTGGCTATGCCATGTATTTTGAGGTCAGCTGCCTGAGGAGCACAGTAAGAGAAGAGCTCAGCTTTGAAGCTCAGGGCTGTGATCCTGTAGCAGCCAAACTGCAGTGATCTTGCTGCTGTGAGAATTGTTCTCAGTGCGGCATCCATGTGTGCAGCAGTATCTATGAATAAAGCTTTTGCTTTAGGGTTTCTTTCAATGCTCATAATTTCTCGAGGGAAAAAAAAAAAAACAAAACAGGAAGTAACATTAATTTTTTGAAACATAATGTGATTAGGAGTTTAGATGTTTATGTGATGTGTGATCTGCACCCCTAGTTAGTTGTGCCTGCAGGAAGAACCTACTGGCCAAATACTTGGTTCCTAACTGTGCTGTGCAAATCTTGTTATCATGTAATGGTCTGAGGTAGAATGTTGCTTCTGAGTGAAGGTCCCTCTGAAAGGCTGAGTCTAAAGTGATAAGGTAGACACGGATCTGGAACTCTTACTCTGCAGCATAATAGTTGTACTCTCAGGTGCCTCAAATACTACCTACAACAGTAGCATGTTTCTATCATTATTTTCACCTGTAAGAAAAACAGACTGGGAAAAGCAAAGGAAGTTTAAATGATCTAAACTCTTTCCAGAGTGGAAAGATGAAAGGAGACTCCCAGCATAGGAACACCTCTTTTCAAAGACTGTTTCCTTGAGGAGAAGGTGCAGGAGGGAACAGAAATGCCTTTTGGAAACGGTGTAGGGATGAGGGGAGAAGTAGGGTGATATCATCACTGTGTTTCAAGAGACAAAAAATAACTATTTAGCCATTTTTGAATAGAAGTTGTTCTTCTCCCCCGAGTTGGACATGAAGAAGCATAACCAGCCTCCTGCAGCCTTTTCTCTTAATTTAAAGCCATTGCAGAACACTGCAGCGAGGCTTTGGCCCTGGAGAGCTGGAATAAAGCGCTGGCTACTGAAGGTTTGATCTGAGGCCTTGTTCGAACCCGTTCCTGTGCCTGCACTGACCCCTAGTGACTGCAGAGACAAATAATTTAGAGATTCGGTTGTTTTAAAAACTAAATATGTATCTTTACAGAACGTCTTGCTTTACAAGGAAGCTTTTATCAGCAAATGTCTTCATTGGGAGGAAATTGTCAAAATCTTTCTATTTAAGCAATCTCTAAATTCTCAGGGAAGTTTTACCCCGTTTTTATTTTACAACAACCAATTTTTGTCTCATTTGGGTGTTGACTTGAGATGGATTTTGCTACCTTAATAAATAGCTTCATTAAAATATCAGTGCTGCAAAATAAGATGCTGGGGGTTAATGGTTTAAATTTAGCCATGTAAGTTTGTTCAGGAATGCTGGATCTCAGGCTGGAAGCTTTGCAAACGTTTAGTACAATACAGGTGATAGCGTTGTTAATTTGTTTGCGATCTGATATGATGCACCTACAGGAGATGTCTGATGACCATCTGGAAAAACATTAGTATATTTTAACAGGTATAAGGTGAAAACAAGAAATCATTTCTTTCCCTTGGGCCTTTCAGCTCAGCAGCAGACGATGCACATGCATATGTAATGCCAAGGCAAGTTCAGCTCTCCTTCAGTAGCCCTCTGCCTCTGATGTTTGGATTGTTATCTCAGGACTCATTTTCAAGTAGTGTTAGTTTCAACGAGTGTGAGGGATTTGTCATGCAGTGAGTATGTGAAAAAAACAGATATACAATCTTTAGGGCCCCACTGCATGAAATGTACAATATCTTAAATTTTGTTTGACTCCTCTTTGGGGCTCTAATGACAGAGCCAACCAGACAGAAGAGCATTAAGAAATATAATAGGGGATGCACCCATGATCTGGAAAACATGCATGTGTCTTTAATATTTTTGTGGATCTTAGTGCTGTTGAGTCTGACAAAAAGAAATCTTAGATAAGGATTTGATGACACAAGGATCCATGTCTGTTCCTCTGATTTCAGTCCCACCTCACAGGAACTGCTAATATCTCATTGACCCATGTATTTATTGTCCAGTGGTGAGGTATATGTTAGTACCTATGACTTCCTGGACTGAGCAATTGATGACTGAAGAGAACAGGATTTGTAATTTCTCTCCAGGAAGCTCTAGTGAAGAGGGAGGAGATAATGTACTGAGGTTGTGATTCCACAACAACCCAGGACGAGCCAAGTATCATGCGCCATGGCCATGTCCTTCTCCTGCTGCTTTTCTCTGTCTTAGCTGGGCCTCTCGCGAAGCCCGATCCTGTGCTGGGCATGTCGGCACGTAAAGATGCTAGAAAATGATTTCCTTTGGGCTTTGGCTTGTTGGGGTGGCTTTTTGGGGTAGGGTGGTGGGTGCAGTTGCATCAGGAGGTGCTAGTTCTTCATGATCCCGGTTTGGAAAGGCACTGGGCTTGTATAAAGCGTCTTTTCAGATGCTAGTTTTCTGAGATGCCATTTAAAAGGAAAGGAGGACAGTGTAGCTCATGCTACAGCCATTCAGATGCTGGGAGCCCCAAGTTGTGCGGCAGCGAATGGGGCTGCGACTCTGGCCCAGCAGCCCCTGCACCTCCCGTCGGTGGAAAAGTCACCCCATTTTGGTCCTTTGAGCTCTTAGAGGATTTTCCCAAAGAAGCCAGCTCGATTTCCTCATTTCCACTGTCTTGTAGACAAAAGGGATGTTCACCTGAGAACTTGTTGCTGTGCTCTTGCATAAGGGCTAGGCCAGGCCTTATCTAACTGGGCACAGTATCCCTCTGCTTAAGATTTTTAAATTGCCTAAGGCAGACAACATAGAAGGTGTTGGCGTGAGGCCTCGGGTCCTGCAGTTGGAAACAGCGGTGACTAATTAGAGGGGAGGAAACATTTTCAAGACACTTAGTCCTTGATTTCCAAAAGGTGTTTCTTGTCTGTTTTTTGACATGTTCTACCTCTCAGCTAAACCAGATACTCTAGATTTTTCTATTCTTTTCTCAGATAAGGAAAGCGAGACCTAACTGCATGCATGTTTACAATCACTATAGCGTCTATAAATTTCACAGGATCCCAGAATCGTTCAGGTTAAAAAAAAACCCTTGGGGTCATTGAGTCCAACCCTCAGTCCCACTAGGGTGCAAGGTTCTCCCCTGCACCACAGCCCCCAACGTCTCATCCAAACGACCCTTCAGCACTTCCAGGGATGGTGACTCCAGCCCTTCCCTGGGCAGCCTATTCCACTGTCTGAGCCCTCTTTCTGGGAAACCTTTTCTCCAAATGTCCGGTGTAAGCCTCCCTGTTGCAGTTGAAAGCCATTCCCTCTTGTTCTGTGGCTCATGACCTGTGAGAAGGGACCAGCCCCAGCCTCTGTACAGTGTCCTTTCAGGGAGTTGTAGAGAGTGCTGAGGTCTGCCCTCAGCCTTCTCCTCCTGAAAGTAAACAGTCCCCATTAGATTTCTAAATAGAAAAAAAAGGACATCATGACCCCCTGAGGTTTCTGCAAGATACTCTTGGTAAAGTAGGGTAGAGAGCTGTATGAGAGTTGTATTTCTGGGAGAAGGATAGAATCATTTCAGCTCAAAGGCACCCTGGAAGGGATCTGATCCATGCCCATGTTCTAAACAGTCACAATGAAGAAAAACCTCCAAGGAGGGAAAACACTTGGACATTCCCAGATACAGGTGCCACCCGGATAAGTGCTGGATCCCAGTGCTACAGAAAGGAGTCTGAAGGGCTCTCCTCCCAAACTGATGATGTTCTAAGAATGACCAAAGGTCTGGTAAACGCAAAAAGGGACAAAGTCTGCGACAAAGCTAGACGACACATCTGGGTAACAGCTGGGTGTGAGGTTTGTTTCTTCAGAAGGCAAAATTAAAGTATCCTCCTTCTCAGCCTTCCTCTGACTTTGATCTTGGTCTTTCCCCCATCTTTGCTCCTTTAGTTCAAGATGTGTGTAAAGCCTCTTTCAGTTCATTTGGGGAGTTTTGTTGTGAAGCTTGTTTGGTTCCTAACACAGTTCTGCTGCCCTGCTCAGATGTCAGAATCTCAAGAGGAAACTCAGACTGAGCCCCCAAACGTCTGGCAGAGAGCTAAAGGGTCTAGACATCTGGCTTTGGCACCAAACCAGCTACTTTGTAGAATGCATCGCTCTTGTTGTTTACATGAAAAGTTCTCTGAAACTGCTAAGTGAAGCCAACGTATTTATTCATTTTGGGAATTATGCATTGTTATTATTACTTATCATAGTCTGTCAAAATAATATCTACCACATTTTCCTAACAGATTTAAACGTAGTCCATCTATTGAAGGCTGTTGGGAATTTTCTTGTGTACACATGATTTTTCTGACTTTGTAAGATAATCATCTTTGGATTTTCCACTTGCTAATTCCCTTGTTCTTGTAAATTGAAGTCCTCGCTGCTTCTTTTTCCCGTGTGGAAGCTGGCGGTCTCCTTTTCTGTGGACTTGCACATCGTCTTGGCTCTGCGGTCAAAAGAGAGAGACAGAACATTATGTGCGTAATTTCCTAGAATAAAACAACGTGCTCTCTCAGAAACCTTTTCAGAAGTACACTTTCAACACTTGTAGAAGCAAGAGGAAAGAGAATAATTTAATCCTAATCTAATTCACCCTCGTTTCCAAAGTTTCCGTTCAAGTCTTCTTCCTCTAAAACCTTCCGAAGCAGATGCTTGAGAAGCGTGTGGTGGTTGCACAAAGAAAGCAGAAATGGTGGCAAGGCTGGCGAGGGATTCCCGAAGGTGGGTTGAGGTGCTTTGCATCCCTGTGGTGCCTCAGCAGGATTTGCATTTCCGACTGGAGTCAGAATGGCCTAATGCTGCGTGTGGAAGTGCCCTGGGTCAGCTCGGGGCAGCACTGACAGCGGGGCCGTCTGGGGGATCTGAAACAGAGGTGGGCAGGGACCTGGTGCTTTTACTGGAACGAGGGAATTGTATCAAGCAGTTACCTGAAGGGTGGTTTTCAAGGGAGAGCTCGTTTTTCTATCTGGATTTCTTTTCCTCTCAGTTGTTGAGCTAGAGGCTTCTGATGTAGATTTGTCTGTAGAAAACACAGAGACATTGTTTCTTCATGACAGCTGCAAATGGCAGGAAAGACTTTCTGAGCCTGAGAGGTGAATTCAGTAGGAGGTGAGCTGACGGACCAAGGAGTGCATGGGGTGAATCCCACACCACCTCTGAAATAGCAGCTAGTATTCAATGCAGACTCCCTCTGTGGTCGTTTAAAGATCATCTGTAACCTCGTGGCGTTCCCAGGGGGCTCACGGGAGCTTCCCAGTGAGGGGATCCCGCCGTGGACATCCTTGAGCCGAACAAAGGGGATGTTCCTGTGTTGAAAATGTGCCCCAAGGCATCAGTTGCTTTTAGATGAAAGGAGTGCCTAAGGCAATCTCCTGTTTTATCCCTGCTTGTGTGGAAGCACCAGGCACAAGGCAGCTTTGTGTTTTTGTGCCGGGCAGTTGGTTTTGCATCTGAGTATGCTGCTTTAGGACTAACCCTGTTCTGTAAAAGGGGCTTAAAAATGAATATTATTAATACTCCAGTGTTGTGTTAATTCCATCTTAATTCCATTAATTCAAACTATTGATTCCACAGTAATCCTAAAGTTGTCAGGGTGTACGCTACATGTAAGTATTACCGTAGTTTTGCGCTTGGCTCCCAGGTCTTGTCTTTGTGTGGAGCTGATTCTTTTGCTCGGGGCCTTTTAGACCGTGTGCCTCGGGCACCGCTGAAGAGAAAGGTAGCAAAAATGCTAATGGTTGCTCCTAGGACAAAAATGCTGATGGAGAAAGCAAAAGATGTACATTCACGGTTCCATCCAAAAGAGATTGCCAGAAAGATACAAGACCGGGAATCTCCCCTGTAGGCTTTTTGTCAAGTTTATGACCTAGCAGGTGCTTTCAAGAGGACAGTAGAGTGTTTCACAGATGGAAAAGAGGTGAAGGGAAAGATCACCCTGAATGAATGGCAGGAAGAACGAATTCAGTCCTCTGTCCAGCATAAATCATGTGAACAAAGTGAACATAAATCACAAAAATGTATGCTACCTTTAAATTGATAGCAGGAGTTTGCTGACGAGATAAGAGGCTGTAAAAAGTGGGGATCGGTATATTTGTGCCCCGTGGCCCATCCCTGCATCTGTCGCTGTTTGTGGGGCAGAGGACTGCTTTCTGCTCGGAAGGTGCTATATTAGTGTTCATACCTATTGTGTCTGACAAATGGTAAAGCTTTCTAAAGCTTCATGTTTCTGTCTGTGGATCCTGCAGCATTCTGTTGGTGAAAATGATGCCGGATCAAATTTACTCCTGCCCCTATTCAGGCATAAATAAGTGAGTTTTCACCTGCAGGGACCAATGGAAAGCAGCACAATCCAGACAGGCACATTTGAGGCATTTTAAGAGATCAGTGTAAGCAGGAGCCCACCTGTAGCTTCACTGAACTTTGGCGCTGTCTTGGCAGTGAAGGCACGGGAGACGATGTACGCAGACAGCGGTGGTCCTGCGGAGTCAAAAGAAGACTTTCTTCTCGTTTCTGTACAGACATAAAGATGAGAAGAATCAGTTTGATCGCCCTCCCTTTGACCCCTTTGCTGGTAACTTGGTTTTACTCTGGGGTTTGAAGCATGAATTCCTCAAAGTGAAAAAGCAAACAAAACGGTTGCACTGTTCTTCAAGAATTGACATCCTGGCTGGAAAACAAGATGAAAAAATTGTTCTTTGTGGGTAGCCCAGTCCAAATGCATTCAGTTACTTTATTTACCCCATGATGCTCAGCAATGAGAATGGCAGTGCCGTTCCCTGTGCTTACCCGCAAGCAGGTAAACCCTTCTTTCTCTTGCCTTTCCAGGTGATGGCAATACAATTCCCACCACACTGAATAACGCAGAAAGAGAAGGAGAGCCTTCAGGAAACACAGTAGCGATTGAGAATATTGGCAGCACAGACGGCAAAGCCTTTGAAAATGGAGGTAATCTCCTTTAGCACTGGCTCCCACCTCTGGGAGCTTGTGGATTAGTTTAGTGCAATTGCCTTTAACCTCTCATTTTGTCTGCTTCTTTGGTTAGTTCTTCAGATCCCGCCGAGTGTAACTCGAGCACCTGGCATGTGACCGCCGTGCTCTCTGATGAAACACCATCATGCCCAGGTTAAAGAAGACCACAGCTCCAAAGGAAGGCACCAGCCTCAGCCACCTGTTGGTTCTTTGGCTTCTCGCTTTTCAGGAATGGTATTTATGGACCCTACCCGATGGAATATGTGGCATATTGAAAGGTGCATGTGTCACCCTTGTACCTAAAACCTCCAGAGAACTCACTTGAAGAAATGCTCTGGGGAAGCACCTCTCTCCTTTTCTCTGACTGCATCTCATTAGAAATACAAAATTAGAAGATTTTGTCCCTGAAATTGACACTAATGTGATTTGCGAGACACACCCGAAACCCCCCCCTCTCCCCCAATTGAAAGTAGCAGGTGATATTTCTGTGCAGCAATTTCTGATGACTGATCTACTGGTGAGTCCGGTGTGTTTTAATAGTCAGAACTTAATGCTCCCTCCTCAAATGGAATTATACTCTTGCTTATCCAGTAAAAGATCTAATACAGATTTTATTTTATTTTTTTCCAGTCATGCCACTTGCTCAGGAATGGAGAAACAAAACACAGGAGGTAAATATTTCTGAATTGGTATTTCTTTGTCCTGCCTTCTGTTGGATAAAGCCTAGCCTTCCAACCAAAATGGAAGTCGTTTCTTACTATCTCTTAGAAGGCACTTGAAGGGGGGATTTATTTAATCTGAGTTCAGTTGGAGAAAAGCTTGATGTGTGGCTGCCTTTCATCATCTAGAGACCCAAGACAGCCAGCAGAGAGCACAGAGCACCTCTGGGAAAGGGACTCGTCTGCCCTTTCTTTGGCACTGTCTGACGATGCAATAAAGAGCCCCGTAAGAGTGCCTGCACGGCCTGATGGGGAATGGAAACTACGTTCCTACCTTAGGACAGCTAAAACTAGGCTACACAAATCTTGATCCTGAAGAAAAACTCGATGCAAGACCTAAGTAGTGTATCTCAGGAAAGTACACGTAGGGTTAATAGCCCATTTCTACCTTTTCCACCTACACTGGATACAGTGACAGGAGAGAGAGAGAGAGAGACAGAGAGATGGGGGGGGTGTG